GAAGCCTTGAGGGGCGTAAAGGTGGTAGGCGAAGAAACCTCACCTTCTCAAAAGGTGTCGACACCTTTCTGTCCGCCTGCTGTTGAAGAGGCAACTCGAAGGCACCGTGCAATAAGAAGGAGCTCGGCTGCTCGAAGGCACCGTGCAATAAGAAGGCAGTCGACTGCTCGAAGGTACCGTGCAAAGGCGCCCCGAGAAGGCGCTTTACGAAGGTGCAGTAAGAAGGCTCTCGGCTGCTTGAAGGCACCGTGCAAAGGAGAAGCCACCGTCACGCGTTAATCGCAATGGCGCACACGCGGCTCGCAGTGGTGCATGCGCAGCTCGTAGTGGTGCACGCACAACTCGCAATGGTGCAAACGCAGCTCGCAATGGTGCACGTTTGCCAGAATAGCGCTCCGTCGGGCCGTCGTTCTCGCGCGGATGCGAAATGAAGATGCCGGCAGCGGTTGGGGTGTTTTTCCTTCCCCGTCCAGCCCCGCGTCACATTGGTTGGTGCCTTCGCGCGACACGGAATGTCGACGACAAAAAGAGGCCGGRCCTTATTTTCCGTTGGTACAGGCCTCGTTTCGGGCCTGCACATAGACCCAAAATCTGTGGGCGGTGCAAGYGTCGTTTCGGGCCTGCCCTTTTTTACCCGTTTCGCCTCGGGCCTTGTCCTTTTTTCCTTTGGTATCGGGCCTGCTTTTCACGCAGTTGGTACCAGCCTGCAATTTGGGTCGGCGTTGTGAGGCCGGCGCCGACTGATGCCGACGGCAACGATGCTGGGTATGGGGAATCGCGTCGAGCGTTGATGATGTCCRGATCGAAGTTCGGCACCTCCTCCTCCTCCACCTTCTAATCTTCCCTTTCAATCTCCTAATCGCGTCATGGTGGCAACTAGCATCATCAGCGTTCCGTGTTGGCATCCTCCTATTTGGTGTGTTTCGAGGTGCTTTTGTGCTCTTCGAAGTGCTCTTTTGCTAATCGAGGCAGGTGTTTTTGCTAATCCAGGCGGGTGCTTCTGCTTATTTGGCATCGAACCGCTCTTCGAGGCAGGTCCGTCTGCTAATCGAGGCAGGTGCTTCTGCTAATCGTGGTAGGTATGATCCCAAGCGATCTCCTCCTCCCTCACTCCCTAACATGGTTCCCGTTGTTCATTCATTGATTGATCCCTTTTTTTCCCAGTCGAAAATAAAAATAGCAGTTGGAGAGGAGTAGTTGGAGAGAAGGAGTAGGAGAGAAGGAGAAGTAGGAGGGAGGACGCAGTGGGAGAGAAGGAGAAGCAGGCGAGGAGGAGGAGAAGTAGACTACGAGGAAAAGGCAGAGGCCTTTTTTGTTTTTGTTTTTTTTATTAACCTACCA